CCCCCGTGCCCCCCCACCCACCGTGCCCTCTCGCTGGCGGCGCAGCGCTGCACGTTGGAGAGCTGCCCCAGGCAGAAGCGGGCCCCCCCCGAGGGGTCCACGTAGCCGTCCACCACCACGGTGGGGCAGCTCGAGGGCACCTTGAAGATCTCCCCCACCTGCACGTCCTGCTCGAAGTAGGCGATGGAGCACCAGAACTCCGGCCCTGCATTGGGGGGCACGTGGATTTTAGGGGGGTCACGGCACCCCAAGGGTGCTAAGGAGGGCGGGGGGCACTCACCAGGGTGGGTGGACACGGGGGGCTGGAGCACGGGGGGCCCTGAGAGGGGCAGAGAGGGGGTCAGCACACTGAAGACCCCCCCAGACCTCGCCCCGTGCCCCCCAAACCTACAGCAGTGGTTGGGGTGGTGCTGGGGGGGCTGCGGGTGGCTCTGGCTGCCGGGGTGTTGTGGTGGGGGGGGCTGTGACCCCCCCAAATTCGGGGTGTAGATGGTGGCACTGCTCCAGCTCAGCGGTGAACCTGCAGGGGGACACAGAGGGACATAAGGAGGGTCCCCCCAAGGGGGTTTGGGGGGGCAGTGGGGTACCCCCATACTCACTGTGGTGGGGTGGTTTGGGGTACCCGTTCTGCGGGGGGGGCTGTGCCGGGGGGCCCTCGGGATGGAGCAGGGGGTCCTGGGGGGTCGCTGTGGGGGAATATGGGGTGGGGGGCTCAGCGGGATGCCCCCCAGCCCCCCCAGCGCAGGGCTGGCGCCAGGCCGGGGGTCTCCCCGCGCCTCCCGGCTCCAGACATAACAAATCCCCCCCTCCCCGCTCCCCCCGGCCGCCAGACACTGACTCACGGGGCAGGGCGGCGCGGGGGATGCCGCGGAGGGGAGGGGGATGCGGGCAGGGCATCCAGCCCAGCGGAGGGGGCTCCCGGGGCACCCCCAAACTTGGGGAGGGTCTACCTGTGCGTGCCCCCCATCCCGCGGTACCTGGAGCCGCCCGTCCAGGGTGCGCTGCACGGTGACACACTGGCCGGGCTGGGCCCCGCCGGAGGTGACAGCGGCCACCAGCGCGTCCAGCTCGTCCCTCTTCTCCTTCAGCTTCCTGAGCAGGCTCTGGATGGCGCGGCGGGCGAAGGCCTCGCTGTCCCCTCCCTGCCGGTGGCACAGCAGGCTGTGCACGATGCCGGGGCCGCTGTCGCTGCCCAGGGACATGGCGCTGCGGCCCTGCAAGGCACGGCGTGTCACCCTGCGTGTCACCCTGCGTGTCACCCTGCATGTCACCCTGCATGCCACCCTGCGTGCCACCCTGCATGTCACCCTGCATGCCAACCTGCGTGTCGCCCTGCGTGTCACCCTGCATGCCACCCTGCGTGTCTACCTGCGTGCCACCCTGCGTGTCACCCTGCATGTCAACCTGCGTGCCACCCTGCGTGTCACCCTGCGTGCCACCCTGCTGCAGGGGACACCGCGCAGCTGGCGTGTGTGGCACCGGGAAGGTGGCACTCTCCAGGTGACAAAGCCATCTGTCACCCAAAGCCTGGGCTCTGTGGTCCCTGGCTGATGGCGCGACCTGAGTCCCAGAGTTTGGGGAAGCTGGGGAGGGGGTGAGGTGACAGGACACACTCGGCGTGTCCCCAGCTCCCCATAACAGCAGAGCCAGAGCTGGATGGTGGCATCAGGCTCGGGGACAGCGGTGTCCCCAGCCTGGCGTGCCCGGTGCCACGGGGACGGAGCGGCTCCCGCAGCCGCCGCCGAGGCCAGACTAAACAGAGCCCAGCCTGGCGCCGCTCCTTAACCCCTGTCTCTCCCCGGCTTCTCCTTTTCCTGCCTCCCTGCCAGAGCCTGCTCACGCCAGAGCCTGGATGCAGCGCTCCAGAGCCTCGGAAAATCCTTGGGATGGCGGCAGACACAACAAACCGCGGCTCTCCGCTCCTTATCTGGGACTGCGAGGGAGCCTGAGTGTCCTGCCAGCACCCCCCGTGTCCCCCCGTGCCCGGCTCCTCCAGGATGCCAGCTCGGGATGGGGACACTTCCAGGGATGCTGAGGGACCCCACGGAGCCCCCCGTGGTGGGGGTGCGACCCTCAGCCCCCCGCCACGCTCTGGGGTTCATCCCGGGGGTCTCATCCCTGCTCCTTGCCGGGACCCCTGCCCATTCTCTGCTTCGTGTTTTGGGGGTAAAGGCAGTGGAAGTCTGCTCCCACCCCAGCTCCAGGGGCTGCATCCCAAGGCTGCTCCAGGGAAGCCTGGAAGGGTCGGAGCCATCCCCGTCCCTCTGCAGAGCTCAGGTTTGGGGCCAGCTGGGCTCAGCGGGGCCAGACCCTCACCCACATCGCCCTGCCAGGAGAACCCCCGGCTGATCCCTGTCCCAAAGCTTGTCCTGGGGTGTCCCTGGGACACCCACGGCGCATGGGAAGGCGACAGGGACGGCGCAGGGGTTCTGAGGGGTGACAGGCTTCAAGGAGGGGACACAGCGGGGACCGGCAGGGGACGGATGATGGCTCGGGCTCCACTCACCTCACCGTCACTCGCGGCCCGGCTCCCGCCGCATCTCCTCCGGCTCAGGGCGGTGCTGCCGTGCCTGCAGCCTCCTGCCTGCCGTGTCCTGAGCCCCCTGCCCTGCCCTGAGCCCCCTGCCCTGCTCTGAGCCCCCTGTCCTGCCCTCAGCCCCTGCCTTTCCCTCAGCCCCCGCCTTTCCCTCAGCTCCCTGCCCTTTCCCTCAGCCCCCGCCTCCCCCTCAGCTCCCTGCCCTTTTCTCCCACCCTCAGCCTTTCCCTCAGCTCCCTGCCCTTCCCTCAGCCCCCTGTCCTGCCCTGAGCCCTCCGCCTCCCCCTCAGCCTCCTGCCCTTTTCTCCCACCCTCAGCCTTTCCCTCAGTCCTCTGCCCTTCCCTCAGCCCCTTCCTCCTGCCCTCAGCCTCACCCTCCTTCTGTCAGCCCTTTCCCTGAGCCTCCCCCGCCTTCTCTGAGCCCTCTTCTCCTCCTCCCGGCGCTCTCCTCCTCCTCCCGGCCCTCTCCCCGGTCCCGTTCCCGCTCCCTCGGCCCTTTCCCAACTCCGTCCCTACAATAACAAAAGGAGCGGCCGGAGCGCGTGAGGCGCCGCCGCGCCGCGGCCAATGGCAGCGCCCGTGACAGCCGGGCCTCGCCCCGCCAGCCAATCGCGGCCGCGCTTTCACGGCAGGAGCCCCCAGACGGGCCCCGCCCCCGGCGCCGCCGAGCCCCGCTCCCACCGGGAACGCCGCGGGTCCCGGTCCCGATCCCGCTCCCACCGGGAGCGCCGCGGGTCCCGGTCCCGCTCCCACCGGGAACGCCGCGGGTCCCGGTCCCGGTCCCGCTCCCACCGGGAACGCCGCGGGTCCCGTTCCCGGTTATCCCCCGGGAACGCCGTGGGTCCCGTTCCCGGTCCTGCTCCCACCGGGAACGCCGCGGGTCCCGTTCCTGGTTATCCCCCGGGAACGCCGCGGGTCCCGGTCCCGGTCCTGCTCCCACCGGGAACGCCGCGGGTCCCGGTCCCGGTCATACACCGGGAACACCGCGGGTCCCGGTCCCGGTTATCCCCCGGGAACGCTGCATGGAAGGGGTGGGTGATAAAAGCACAGACCACTTATTCACACTGAGTTTCAAAAATTGGTCTTTTTTTTTTTTTTTTGAAAAATGATGGATTTTGGAGCCTTTAGTCACACTGGGTTTCAAAAATTTGTCTTTTTTTTTTTTTTGAAAAATGATGGATTTTGGAGCCTGTTCTGGAAAAGAGGCATTTCCACTTCCCTGTCCTGGCTGAATTTTCTGTCCCTGCCTCTCATTTCTTTAAACAAACACTTGAACCACAAAGAAACACGGCGCCAAAAGAACTCCAACCCCCCAAAATCCACTAAAACAGGGAAGATTCTCACCTGCCCCAACCCCACGGGGATTTTTGGTGCAGAACAAAAAGGATTTGGGAGAAGAACAACAGCCAAAGTCAGGCTCTTCCTGCTGGCAAGGCTGGACTTGGCTTTAGGGGGGTTACACTCCAGCTGGGAACGTGGCCGTCCCAAAAAGCACAAGGGGATTCTAAATATCCAACAAACCCATCCCAAAACCCAAAACCCTCATCCCAAAACCCAAACCCTCATCCCAAAACCCAAAACCCCCATCCCAAAACCCAAAACACTCATCCCAAAACCCAAAACGCCCATCCCAAAACCCAAAACTCCCATCCCAAAACCCAAAACACCCATCCCAAAACCCAAAGCACCCATCCCAAAACCCAAAACGCCCATCCCAAAACCCAAAAACCACGAAGCTCCAGAGGCCCACAGAGATCTTCTCCCCAAGCCACGGCTGCATCCCTGGCGCTGCCACCAGCGGATTCATCCCGTCCTCGTTTCCCCAGAGTGAAAAAAAAAATCCCCGGAAAAGAACAATCCAAAAAAAGTTTAATACAACAGAGAGTATCAAAACATCGAAGAACACACTAAGTCTGAATTTCCCATCGGGACGAGTTCCCCCCCCCCGGCAGTCCCGGCCGGTCAGTCGGCGGCCTCGGGATCCGTCTGTGCCATGTACGCGTCCAGCTCGGCGTCCAGGTGTCCCTTGGTCTTGGACATGTAGGCGTCCAGCTGGTTGTCCAGCTGCTCCTTGGTGAGCGCGGGGCGCGCCGAGCCTCTGCCGCGGCCCCGGCCTCTGCCGCGCCCGCCGAAGCCGCCCCGGCCGCGCCCGGCCATGCCGCGCCCTGCGGGGGGACAGCCAGCGGTCGTCACCGCCTCCCGACCTCCTTCTCATCACCCAGAGGATTTGGGAACTTCCTGAGGGTTCCTCAATCCCAGCCTAGCAGCAGTATGGTGTTACCATGGTGTTTTAGGAAAAATCTTTTGCTAGGGTTGTTCACTCTTGAGGAAAGAGTATCTGCTGCTGTGGAGTGCAACGGGTGCCAGCTGTGATTGGGGCATGTTAGGTGTTTTTAATTAATCACAGATGCAGCTGCATGGGACTCTGAGAGCTGCAAGTTTTGTTATTCTATTCTTGTTTTTTCAAGCCTACTGATAATGTTTTTCTCTCTTTTGGTGGTATTTTAATATATATATATCATAATAAACCAGCCTTGTGAGAAACTGTGATTGGGGCATGTTAGGTGTTTTTAATTAATCACAGATGCAGCTGCATGGGACTCTGAGAGCTGCAAGTTTTGTTATTCTATTCTTGTTTTTTCAAGCCTTCTGATAATGTTTTTCTCTCTTTTGGTAGTATTTTAATATATATATATCATAATAAACCAGCCTTGTGAGAAACACAATCAAACCTCGTGAAGAATTCCCAACAATATGGCTCATGGGTTTCCCCTCCCACCCCTGCTGAGCTTCAGTTTTAAACTAACCAGCTCTTGGGTAAAAGTTTGAATTGCAGGCTTGGAACTCTTGGGGCTGCAGGAGGGAAGGATCCCAGCTGGATTGCTCCCGTCATTCCCAGGGCACTCACCTCTGCCGCCGATCCCTCCCCGGCCCATGGCGCCCCGGCCCAGGCCGCCTCTTCCCGGGCCCCCGCGGCCCCTGATGCCGCCTCTCCGCAGGCCCATCCGGGGGGCGATCCCTCTCCCGCCGCGCAGCAGGCCTTGACCTTCAGCGGAGAAGCCGCAAAAGCGGGATTTCAGCCCGGAAAAACGGCCCGAGGGGGGGGGATGGGGAAGGGACGGACGGCAGGGCACACTGACCTCGGAGCGCCGCCCCTCCTCGGATCATGGCCCGGGCGCCGCGGCCCCGCAGCGCCCCCCGGGGCAGCCCCCGCTGGCCCAGGGCCAGCCCCCGGCCCCCCAGGGCTCCTCGGGCCAGCGTCCCCGCCGGCCGGCCCAGCCGCGCCTGGATGTTGCTCTTGCCGAGGCGTTGCTTCAAGCTCTTCTGGAAGAGAAGATTTGGGAAGGACAGGAGTCATGCAGCAATCTGGGATTGGGGACGCCGCAGGGACACAGTCCCCAGGGACGCAGCAGGGACGCCGCTCCAAGCGCTGGGGCTGTGCCTGGAGCCCAGGCCTGCGTTCCCAGTCAGCCAGCACGGGAGCTGGCCCCGCTGCTCCTCAGGGAAAAAGCAGCACGGCAGCGGCTCCCGAGGGAGGCTGGGGTTTTAGGGAGGTGAAGCAGCTCCCGGACCCCGGGATGAGCCTTTTGTCTGGAAAAATAGAGAGGAGACATCAACAGCCAGCACCCAACACCCCCACCGACAAGCAGGGAACGACAGCGTGTCACTGATCTGAGGTAAAAAGTGGAATTTTCTGCCAGTCCCTCCCAGGTATCTCATCTTTAGGACCATGGAATGCTGAGTTGGGAGGGATCCATCAGGATCATCCAGGCCAACTCCTGCCCCTGCACAGACACCCTAAAATCCCACCCTGGGCATCCCTGGGAACAGCTCCTGGTTTTAAGATCATGGAATGCTCTGAGTTGGGAGGGATCCATCAGGATCATCCAGGCCAACTCCTGCCCCTGCACAGACACCCTAAAATCCCACCCTGGGCATCCCTGGGAACAGCTCCTGGAGCTCTGGCAGCCTCAGGAATGTGCCCATTCCCTGGGGAGCCTGGGCAGTGCCCAGCACCCTCTGGGGGAAGAGCCTTTCCCTAAAACCCATCCTGAGCCTCCCCTGGCACAGCTCCAGCCATTCCCGGATCCTGTCCCTGTCCCAGGGAGCAGAGATCAGAGCTGCAGATCCCTGAGTCTCCTCTGCTCCGGCTGGACACACCAAGTGCCCTCAGCCACTCCTCACGTGGCCCTTCTCCATCCTCGTGTCCCTCCTCTGGACACTCTCCAACACTTTTTTTACAGAATTCCAAAAGTCTCTGGGTTGGAAAAGACTTCCCAGACCACTGAGTCCAATCTCCACCTCGAGCCCAGCTCAGGGCACTGAGTGCCACATCCAGGCTCTCCCTGGACACCTCCAGGAATGGCCACTCCACAATTTCCTGGGCAGCCCCTGCCAAGGCCTAACCCAACACTTTTTTTACAGAATTCCAAAAGTCTCTGGGTTGGAAAAGACTTCCCAGACCACTGAGTCCAATCTCCACCTCGAGCCCAGCTCAGGGCACTGAGTGCCACATCCAGGCTCTCCCTGGACACCTCCAGGAATGGCCACTCCAAAATTCCCTGGGCAGCCCCTGCCAAGGCCTAACAACCCTTCCCAGGAAAAAACTCCCGCTGTGTCCAACCCCACCCTCCTGTCAGGAGTTGTGGAGAGCCACAAGGTCCCCCCCAAACCTCCTTTCCTCCAGCAGCTCCCCACACACTCACCCTCCATCCCCTTCCCTTCTCTGGCCTCTTTCTCTCTCCGGAGCTGTTTTTTCCACATCCTGCAAGGCCCAAATCCTCCTTCCCCTCACCTGTTTGAGCTTCAGAGCGGCCTGCACAGACGGTCTGTTCTCCATCTGCTGGGCCAGACGTCTGTTTCGAGCGCTGGCCAGCTGCTGCTGCTGCATGGTGGCCCGGATATTCACCGGCATCGGCTGTTTGTTCTTCAGCATGTTAGTGAAGCTTCAAGGTCGAATAAAACGGGGTTTAATTAAAGCTTTAAACACACAATTATCGGCATTTCACGGTGCTCGAGTGGGGCTCCAGCTCCCATGAACCTTATGCAAAGAGTGGCACTTATGGGATTACGGATCCCTCGCTGGCCGCGAGGCCCGGAGAGGCAGGAATGAGGTGGAAGTTTTCAGTGGGAATGAGAAAGCCGGAGGTTAGTGGGTTTAGAGATGGCAGAAGGGGTGACAACCAGCAGGAAGCGGGGATGGTCGTGACAGGGTGGGGGAGGAACAGGACAGCAAAAGCCAAATCAACCCCCCCCCAAAAAAAAATCTGGGAAAAGCGTCAAAAATTCCAGGCCAGGAGGTAGGTTGGGAAGATGCCATGCTCGGCGTCCTCCGGCGCCAGGCTGGAAGGGATCACCTTAAAGCCTTTTCCAACCTTAGCAGTTCCACGACTGTACAAAATTCCACCACCCAGAGCATCTCCTGAGTGCCACCCAGGAAACGAGGCCGCTCGGGAATTCACGTGGCGTTTTAATTTCTCCATCCGAGAGCGAGCACGCGGCGAGGCGGTAAATAAAGCAGCACCCAGGGAGCCGGACAGCAAAATGCACCCCTTAAAAACGAGGAGTTTGGGCTCACAGGGAGGGAAGGAGCCAGCATGGCGTCCCTGAGCTCGGGCCACACCTCCCTGCAGCGCAGGAGCTGCCCCATCCCAAAGCGCGCTCAGCGGGAGAGCGGGACACCCGTTAGTCGTCACGGAGGAGCCACGCGTGGAAAAACCCAGCGGAATGACCCACGGGAAGAGCTGGAGGACAGAGAGAGATGGAGGTGAAGCCAAAGCTGTTGCCTCTTACAAGACCCAGAAGGGCCTTCGGGCCGGTTCCGAGGCCGCCGCCGGCCTCTTACAGAGCCCACCCGGGCGGGTGGCACCCTCGGGCGCGGCGGCAGAGCCAAAATACCAATGTCAAAACATGTGGGAGAGACAGGGAGGGTGTGAGGTTGGTCTCTGCTCTTACAACACATCCCACCGGATTTACGAGGCGCTAAAAGGCACGGAGAAATCCCTCCGGGATTTGTTTTGTTCGGCCCTTTTAACCTTGCGTGCCGCAGGGTAAGGCGGGGCGCGTGTGGAGGGCACCCGCTCGCCGGACGAGGTTAAAAGAGGGCGGAAACCACGGTGGGTTTTGGATTTTGGATAGTGAGAATTAAGTTTAAAAAAAAAAATAATAAAAAAATAAAAAAATTATATATGATTTCTTAGGAGCTGAAGGTGCCGTTGTTGGCTTCCTCACCGCTCGTTCAGAGACATCTTGGTGGTGCTCTTTAGCACGACCTTCGGTGCTGACTGTGCAGCCATCTTCAGAGAATCTGCAAAAAAACAGGGCCCAAAAGGGAAAAATGAGACATTTGTTATGCATTTGTACCTCTAAATACTAAAAATCCCTTCTGTTCTGCCTCCCCGGGTGGAGGAGATGAAGGTTAGGGCAGGTTATGTGTAATAGATTCATTTTTTTTCAGTGATTTTTAGCCCTCTGCCAGGATTTTTCAGTTCTGATTCTGGGATTTTTTAATGTTTTTTAGTCGTCTCCCAGTTTTAATAAATCAGGGAGTTCCTTTACTTCTCCCTAACCAAAAATTTATCTTTTTACAGTGAATGCTTCAGCAATATTAGGAGGAATAATATAAAAATCCAGCAGCAAGAGGGAAACCAAATGCAATCTACAGAGCAAAGATGCAAACCAGAACCCGAGACATCAAATTAATACAATTATTACATATTTACATGATTAAACATTAAAAAACCTCTGTTTTCTGTGGAGAGAACTAAGAGTGAGGCAAGTATAGGTATTGTATTTATGTGTTTTTAATGTTTTCTAGCCCTCTACCAGGTTTCATATACAAGGCAGTTATTTTAATTTACCTTTAATAAAAATTTATCTTTTTACAGTGAACACCTTATCGGTTTTTTGAGTAATAACACAAAAAAATCCAGCTGTAAATAGCACACAAATGCTTTTAGCACAGTGACACCTCCACATTTCCCATGTTCTTAGCATGACCAAGGTGCAAACCCCAATTTTAAGAGCCCAGGGAATAAAATTTGGAATAAAAACCCAAGATGATGCCACAAAATCACCGTACCCTTTAAAAACATCGAGATTCCACCTCCCTCAGGGCAGGGATTTAAATCCCCCCCAGGGCTGGATGCTACAGAAACACGCCGAGTTCCAACCTCCGAGCTCTGCAGATCGATTAATTAATTTAATTTATAATTAGCAGCAAATTTAACGGGTGGATGGCGGCCGGGACGCGCTCACTCTACAACACCCTCAAAAAACCGCTTTATTGAGAGGATTTGCACCCAGAAATAGAGACAGCAGAAAGCCTTATTCCTGTTTTACATTATTTAAAATAATTTTATTTTCACATAGAGCAGCTTTTTCAATTTGAAGTGGTTTTTAAAGCGTTTTTCATCCTGAGGGAAAAAAAAAACCCAACAGCTCCGCCCCCCTCAGGCCCGGCTCCGGAACCCGGACAGGGAGAAAAGCCCCGGGCCTGAGGGGACCGTGAGGGGACCCCCGGGCCATGAGGGGACCCCCCGGGCCCTCAGGGGCTCCCCCCCGGCGCCCCGCCCCCGCGCAGCCGGGCCGCTCACTCACCGAAGCACACGGTCGCCAGGTCTCCGGTGAGCTCCGGCGGGCGGGCGGGTGAATGCGGGGCCGGTGTGGGGCCGGCGCGGGGCCGGGGCTGGCGTTGAGCTCCGCCCGCTCCCGCCGCCGCCGCCGCTTCTCCCTCAGCCGCCCGCGACAAAATGGCGCCGGCTCCGCTCCCGCCCCCGCCGAAATGGCGGCCGCGCTCTCGGCCACGCCCCCTGCTGCGCGAGCCCCCCCTTCGGTGGGCGGTGGTTGGTGCAGCAGCGGAGGGGGCGGGGAAAGGGGCGGGGCAGAGGGGGAGGCGGGAGCGTTCTGGCGGGAATCGGGGTGGAGCTCTGGTGACGTCATAGAGAGCGGTGTCGTCATGGAAGCGGCGCGGGATTGCCATGGAATTGTCATGGAAGCGGCATGGAACCGTCACGGAACCGTCATGGAACCGTCATGGAACCGGCACGGAACCGTCACGGAGCCGTCATGGAACTGTAAGGGAACCGCCATGAACTGGCATGGAATTGCTATGGAATCATCATGGAACCGTCATTGAACCGTCACGGAACCGTCACGGAGCCGTCATGGAACTGTAAGGGAACCGCCATGAACTGGCATGGAATTGCTATGGAATCATCATGGAACCGTCATGGAACCGTCATTGAACCGGCACGGAACCGTCACGGAACTGGCATGGAACCACCACGGAACCATCATGGAACTGTCACGGAACCATCATTGAACCATCATGGAACCGCCGCTGAACCGTCATTGAACCGGCACGGAACTGTCATGGAACTGGCATGGAACCAGCACGGAACCATCATGGAACCGTCATGGAACCGTCATGGAACCATGGGACCAGGGAGTCATGGGGTCAGGGAGCCGTGGAGTCACGCATTCGTGGGATCACGGAGTCGCGGGATGCTGGGATCCCTGAATCCCAGGGAACGGTGGAGCTGTGCGTTCCGTGTCAGCTTTTCCAGCTCCTCTGTCAGTTCCGTTGTCGTGGAACTCCTGGAATTACGGAGTCAGTGGAATCATCCCTGGGAACGTTGCCCAGCTGCTCCTTGACCCTTTCCCGTGTCCCACCACCCCCTGGGAGCTGCCCCGTTCCCGGGCAGGGCCGATGCTCACCGGGATGGCGGGCGGATGATGGCGCTGGCGGCCCTGGCGGGGCCCTTGGCCACCGTCCCGTCCCAGTGGATCCCAACCGGTTCCTCCAGCCCCGCGGGCGCGGTGCCGGCGCCTCCGGAGCCACCTGTGGCGAGTCCCAGCCTGTCACCCCCTTCCCAAAACCCCGCTGCTCCCGCGGCACACGGCCCGACACCGGCCGGGATCGCCCGTGCCCTGGGTGGGTGGGTGGATCCCGGGGTGGATCCTGGGGTAGACCCCGGGGTGGATCCCAGGGTGGATTCTGGGGTGGATCCTGGGGTGGATCCTGGGGTGGATCCCGGGGTGGATCCCGGGGTGGATCCTGGGGTAGACCCCGCGGTGGATCCTGGGGTAGATCCCGGGGTGCATTCTGGGGTGGATCCTGGGGTGGATCCCGGGGTGGATCCTGGGGTGGATCCCAGTGTGGATCCTGGTGTGGATTCCAGGGTGGGTCCCAGGGCGGATCCCAGGGTGGATCCTGGTTTGGATTCCAGGGTAGATCCCAGGGTGGATCCTGAGGTGGATTCCAGGATGGATCCCATGGTGGATCCCTGGGTGCATATCAGGATAGATCCTGGGGTGGATCCTGGGGTCGATCCCAGTGTAGATCCCAGGGTAGATCCTGGCGTGGATCCCAGGGTGGACCCCGGGGTGGATCCCAGGGTAGATCCCTGTATGGATCCTGTATGGATCCCAGGGTGGATCCCAGGGTAGATCCCATATGGATCCCGTATAGATCCCGCTGTGGATCCCGAGTGGATCCAGGGCTGTCTCCAGGCCCTCGGGGTGACCCGGGGTGGCATTTCCCCGTGACCCCTCAGTGGGATATTCCCTGGGGGGGCACTCGCAGGGGGACGGGGCAGGAATCCCGAGCGGGAACGAAGGAGCTGACAACACCCCTCGGGCAGGGTCGGTGCCTTTATTGTGCAGCTGGATCCCAGCAGGATCCCCTGGGAATGCTGGGGAGCGGAGGGGGTGAGCTGGGGGGGTGCCGGGGGGGCTCTGGATTTTGGGAACCCGCGCCCTGCTGCGGCAGGAGGGGCGTCAGGCGTTCTCCCAGAAGAAGGTGTTGCAGGCCACGGTCAGGGCGGCCACCAGGACCACGAATTCCTGGAAATCCACCTCCCCGTCGCCGTTCTCATCCAGGTCCTGCATGATCTTCTCCACGGCCCCCGCGTCCTTTTGGGTCTGGGGGGGCACAGGGTGAGCCCTGAGGCTGGGCAGCCGCTGTTCCCCCCTGGGAATGGGGAAAGGGAGACACCCCCCCCCCCCCCCCCCCCCCCCCCCCCCCCCCCCCCGC